TGACAAATTACCAAAAGCTTAGCAACTTAAAACAACGTGAATTTACTATCAGTTTCTGTGAGTCAGGAGTTTGGTCACAGGTTAACTGAGTCCTTCGCTCAGGGTCTCAAACGGGACTGTTGTCCATCTGGTGTTCGGGACTCATTCAGGTCCTTGGAAAGACTCAGTTCCTTGCAGCTTTAAAATTCATGTAAACGGCCATCCTCTTCAAGGCCACAGCATAAGGTCTCTGCTGCTTTGAGTCTCTGGCTCGTTCTGTCTCTGACCTCTAGACTCACATTGAAAGGACTCACCTGATTAAGTCAGGCCCACCTTGGTAATCTCCCATTTAATTAACTCAAAGCCAGTAGATTAATTACCTGAATGGCATCTGCAAAACCCTCTTTGCCATGTAAAGTAACATAATTTCAGGAGTGATATCCCATCTTATCCGTAGATTCCAAGGGGAGAAAATTATATAAGAGTGGGGATCATTTAAAATCCTGCCTTTCACACTTATTTACATGCACAATGAATGTATAATATACATTGCATATGGTATCTAACGTGCTTTGAAAACATTAATATGCCATAGACATCTTTTCTGTCTAATAAATACAAATCTGCGTTTTTGACTGCTGAATAGCATTCTATTTTGTGTTTCAGATCATTAATCACATATTGGGCACTTGGGCTGTTTCTGATTTTTCCTTCTTACAAATAATGCAAGGATGAGCATTCTTATATACTTGCCATTGCATCGCGTGATTATTTCCTGTGTGCAAATTCCAAGGAAAAAGGTTTACTGAATCAAAGGATAAACTTGGGTTCACTTCTGTGACATACCTCCAAGGGCCCCCAAGCAGTGCATGGTGCTGTTTTTCTAGTGAGGCTCTGCCTTTGGTGAAGACTTTCTGGGCTCTTTGTACTGAAACTGCTGAATAATTACCATCCCTTGAAAGGTGCTCGGGAAATCACTGACTGTCGCTGCAGGAAGCGTCAGAAAATAACCGAAAGCAAAAATGTGTTCTTCACATGTCATCTCCATCATTACGCACCCCAAAGTTATCTTCGACTTGGTTAAATAGCTCTCAGTGAAATGGGGGCTTTGTTTGCATTTCGACACTGCTACAAGGCAACAAGGAAAGTAGATCACTTTGAAGGTTTATAAAGTCTATACTTTTTTTTTTAACTTTAAAGAGACACTGCGTATTTCGATGATACAATGGGAAGTCAAGCTTCAAATGAAGGCTCTGAGAAAATATAAAACTTTGACTCTTAAAAATAAACAAAGGTTTAATTACACCTGCCTTGCTAGGCGATGCCCTCACCTTTTAATCGACCATTACTTTGTGAGCGCCTCCCGAGTCCCAGCTCCGGGCCTGGGAATGTGCTGGTGGACAAGGCAGAGCCCAGAGTGAGCCCCTGCACTCCACACATGCGCGATGAAGCCCCAGATGAGTGCAGAATGGCTACTAAGGATCTAGACAAAGTAGCTGTAAAATAAGAAATGACCTTTCAGGAAGCATGTAGATTTCCCACCCCGGAGAGCAGGGAAATGGAATTCAGAAATGTCTGTAATTATTAGCCTCTTTCATAGGGGAACTTGAAATATAAAAGACAAGTATGTATACCCAGAAATACTAACATCCAGCCAAAAGAGAACCCCCATGGCACGAGTAGCCCAAAATACACTTTCCCTGGCCATTGCTGAGCAGAGAATAGCATGCTGGCAAAAAGCCCCATGGCTTCGGAGGTAGCATCCTCTCCCCCTGCTCATGGCCATTCTGGGGGCCCAACCATTGGCTTCGACTAAGACCCAGCCCCACTGGAACCAGTAGGCAGTGGGCGAGGTGGACAGCTCAGAGTTAGTTCTGTCCACTTCTGCCACAAGTTCCTGACCCTCTTATCAAACTCTTCTACCCTAAATATACAAATAAGGCCCCTATCATAGGTTTAAGTGGAAGAAATCACAAATAGCTAGTTATATATCATAATGAGAGGATAGTTTTCCCTATCTCCTTGTCATTTGGAAAAAAATATTATCCTCAAGTCAAAGTTTTTATCTGAGATCTTCAATGCAAAGTTTGTTTATCTTGTTCAAGGCTTAACCTTGCCCAAGAGACTTAAATTTCAATGAGGAGATTCTGGAGCCCATTCATCTAGATGGTGTTGTATTGGTGAAAGCCAGGTTGGTGAACATCACACGTTGTGTAGGAAGCAGGACTGTGTCCATGTGGGATTTCAAAAGCTTCATTGCTGTGTTCTCTGGATCTCTCTGCCCGATGGTGCAGCCTTCACTGTTCTAAAGAGAAGCTAGCAGCCATTGTTTATTACTGTGACTTTTCTTGGGGTTCTCAAGTGGAACCAACCTCATGTTCCTGCCCCAGCGCCTCCATACCCTGACCCTGACCTACATCTGCACCTCCCTCCCCCGCAGGCAATGCCTCGCTCCCCACACCTGCCCACGGTGCTGCTCTTGACCACTTGCATTCTTGGTATTAGAGCCTCCTTTTTTCCCATCTCTCTTCTTCCTTCCTTCCTTCCTTCCTTCCTTCCTTCCTTCCTTCCTTCCTTCCTTCCTTTCTCCTCTCCCAAGGATATTCTTTTATTGATTTTAGAGAGAGAGGAAGGGAGAGAGAGAAAAAGAGAAGCATCGATGTGAGAGAGAAACTTCGATCGGCTACCTTCCCTATGCGCCCCAACCAGGCATTGAACCTGCAACCTGGGTATGTGCCCTGCCCAGGAATCAAACCTGAAAACTTTTGGTTAAGGGACAATGCTCTTTATTCTTTTTTAATTCCCACTCCTTCTTGACAAGCATGACAGTCTCTCCTAATGTAAAAATAATCACAGTAGCCTTCCCTGAGCTGCGTTATTTCTCGCCGTTGCCCTCTCTCCTGTCCTGCCCCTCACAGTCTAGGTCGCTTTGGGTAGAGGAACCTACACGCACCTCTCCCCTTCCGCTCGCTCCCCATCTGCCTCCCCCTACTCTCCTGCTGGTCAGGAAAGACGCCAGGGACCTCCTCCTCATCAAAGCCTGAGTGTCCCAAGTGTCTATAAAATGCCTCTCGGGTTGCACCTCCTGGGTTGGCCTCGGGCACTCACCCACCCAGCACCACCCCCTTCAACACAAACTTTCCTCCCCCACTCAGTCTTGGTAAACAAACCCTCCTACTCCCTGCAACCTGAAAGTCTTCCTCAACTCACCCGATCCCTCACATCTCCATCAGCCCTCAGCTGAACCCCCCAATGGCTCCTCTCCCTCTCCACCAAGATGACCACCTCTTTAGGGAACAGATTTTTGATCCATTGCAACTATTGCAGTATTTTGGTTGGGGGAGGTGGGTAACTTGGCTCAGTCTCCCATATTGCCTCTTCACACACCTTTCATAAATACAGAATTACAAAGTTAACTTTCCCAAGAATAAAGCCCAAATATTGAATTTGGGATAAAAGGATCTCGCAAACTCATCCTTACCTACATCATAACTCAGTGTTTAAGAGCAGGGACCCTGAAGTTCTATTACCAACTAGCTGTGTGACCTCAGGCAAGGGTCTTAACCCCTCTGTGCTTCAATTTCCTCCTTTGTAAACCGGGGATGATAAATAACAGCCCCCCAATACACCATGTTGGCTGTTTCATGCCCTCACAACTTTGTTCCTGCTCTTTCTGTTGATCTGCTAAACTTCAGGACTCAGATCAAATACCACTTCTGCTGTGACACCTTCACTTATTCCCTGAGAGCTTCTCACTGAGGCTTATTGCGCCCCAGATGAATCTCCATTGTAACATGCAGCATGTCAGTTATTTTTGAAAGTCTGAAAGTTACCATTTTTGAGCACTTATCACATGTCAGGCATAGAGTGCTTTACGTGTAGTATCTTGTCTAAGCCTCACAGCAAACTTATGACATGTTTGAACAAATGGCTTACATGCCTGTTGTTTCTTCTAGATTGCGAGGCTGTTTATGAGCAAAACCCATGTCTTCATCTTTGTTGAATCTCCAGTACCTAGCATGGTGCCTGACATGTAATGGGTACATAGTTAAATAATACGTCTAAATTGAGCTAATCAAAGCTGAGCTGTGCTCAAAGAGAGTACATGCATGAATTACTAATGTTGCAGGACATTTAGGGACAGGATGGGTGGTAGCTGGGTCTCAAATGCATCAGTGCTATAAATAGACTGCGGCGATGACCTCACCCACCATTAAACTGTTATCACTATAGGAATATTTTCTGCAGTGCGGATGGGTTCATGTGCTCATTTGTTTCTGGGCTGTTATATAACTTCAGGTCTTTCCAAGGACATAATACAATTTGTGATGACATTTATTCCATGCTCTTGCCTCCAGGGTCATATGGAAAGTTGTGAAAAGTTTTGCATGACCCTCAGCTCATGGGTTGCCCATCTTTGATAAAGAGTAAAGAGACATTTGCCCTGAGAACTTTTCCTTCTTGTTGAACAAAAAATGGAAATTTTCCACAAATTATAGACAATTATAATCAGGAGTTAATGTTATAGTCTCCATGGCAATGATCTAAACCCATAAACACAGGCATTTCATTGCTTAATTGTTACAAGGGATATGCTTTTTATAAATCTAATACATATAAATATAAAAGAAATTCAAAGAAGTTCGTATTTTGCTTTTAATTAACTTTTCTTTCCTATCCACTTAGCATGTAGTAAGTTCTGTTTCATTAGGCAGCAGAGAATGGTTAAGATCAGAACTGTTTAATGTGCTGATTAGAATATCTCTGGAGGGCCTTGAAGCTGATGTTAGCAGAAGAGCAATGGCCAGCCATGTGAATGTCCCTAGGGGGACCAATGGGAATGAATCTGCCCCACAAACTCAAGTCTAGAGCCCCAGGATATCTCTGGGGGTCATCAATTTACTTTAACCCATTCCCACAATAAGTAGATGGCATATCCTCAGGATCTGGGGTCACTTTCTTATGTTTTGGAGCATTGGATGTTATGGGATGTTTAGTCTCACTGAGTGGTGTTTTCCAAGGAACTACCACTGCTGGAATGAAGCCTGGATGACGAGGCCCGATCTTCCTGTTGGATTTGGAGGCTGGCAAGCCGTGGACAGCACCCCCCAGGAAAACAGTGACGGTAACCTGCATCCCCCTCCAGGGAACTGTTGAACTGCCCACCTTCACTTGGCCTTTGTGATGGCACTTGCGTGGGAAACGCTCCCGGTGGGAACCCACAGCAGGAGCGTGCTCCCTGTGCTCACGCCCAGTATTAACCACCTGCCAATCAGGCTTAACTTCAGTTCAATGGTTGGGTTTACCTTGATTGTTTTATAACTTTTAGAGAAACAGCAGGAAGCTTAACATATATCATTCACCTACTCCTGCTTCGATAAGCAGTTTTGAAGACAGGATAAAAGTGCCTGTGTGCACATTTCAATAGGCTGTAAACCATGCTCCACCCGCCACGGCACACGGTGGTGAGAAATAAGGCAGCAGGGGAAGTGAAGGGCTCAGAACACTGGTGTTTCCCCAGAGCTAACCTCTTTTGATATTGTGAGATTTCTTCCAGAACTTGGGTATGTGGGTATTTGTTGTCTGACTTACAAAGTCTGCTAAGCAATGACCAGCAGCTATGACCTCATCAGGATTTCTATAAAATCCCATTATAAGCCTCCAATAATCTTTAAATGATGATAAAGGCAGTGGCCTGGGGACGTTAGGCTTATTTCCTCGGGTGCTGATAGAAGATATCGTTGTGTGTGTCTATGCACATAGACACACACTCATTGAGCATTTACAAAGAGAATCTTAGTGGAATCTAAAGAAGAAAGTTCAACACTTTCTGGTGTTTCGGATTATACAGGGTGGGCAAAAGTAGGTGTACAGCTGTTCGCATGGAGACTACAATAATTAATAATAATAATACCAAAACAAACCCCGTGTTTCACGTACTCACAACTGTGGACCTGCTTTTGCCCACCCTATGTCTTGAGGAGACTTCAGAGGTGACTAATGGTGGTAAGTGTCTTATTAACTGGAGGTAGCTGGTTAAAATGTAAAAATTTTGGAAAAGTAAACGTGGGCCTATTGACTTCCTCAGTGCACACTGGGCACTGCCCAGTGTGGCTAGTGTCCAAGTTATCCAGTTAAACTTGACGTGTTCTTTTTCCTTTCTTTTCTTTTTTATTGAATTTATTGGGGTGACACTGGTTAACAAAATTATACAGGTTTCAGGGGCTCAAATGTCCAAAACACAAAATATACAACAACGCAGCCACCAAGGACACATCACCATTCCAACATGCCAGACGCCAGCTGTAAGAGCATAAACGCTCCGTTGGCCAACAGTCCGGCACCCACACTCGAGTGCATGTCTGTAGGTAGGAGGATAGACGGGAATAGTGACGCCGGCATTGTTTTCATGGCCTCCGTGCTGATTGCACACCTTGCCCACCTGCCCCCTCTGGCATGGACAGCCTTTAGGCTAAATCAATGACCAACTTGAGGGACACTTGCCCCTGCAGAGCCACCTCAGTGCTACGGCCTGTCCTGTGTCTGTGTCTGGACAGACGTGAAGACACAAACTAACACGCTTCTCCTCTGTGTGACGCAGGGATGTACCGGTGCGGCCCGGCCTCTGTCCAGGCCATCAAGCACGGCCACGTTTGCTTCCAGTTTGATGCGCCCTTCGTCTTTGCAGAGGTGAGTGGAAGGCCCGGGAAAGTGCTGCTCTCCTCCCCCGCCTCTTACACCTCAAAGAGTAGGGTCCCGAGCTGTTACTCTTGAACTTCCCTGGACGTGGCCCTGTGCTTTGTAATCACAGTTAACTGGACATCAGTCCAACCTCCAGGCCCTCAATTCTAAATGCAGCTCTTAACCAACATTTTTCTTTCCTAGATGTTTTGAGATTTTTTTTTACCCTCAAAAGAAATTGCTTTACTAACCACCACACTCTCCAACTAGAATGAATAACTATTATTGATATGCGAGGCCTGTGTCCTTAAGCAGCTTGATTCTTGTTGGAGGCGGGAGACACAAACACATCGAAAGTTAAATAACAATCACACAAGAGATGCTATGGGACTGTCAAGTGAGCTACGTAGGTGATAAATGATCTGCATTTATACAAATAGATTCATTCCCTGAGAAATATGGGCTGGGAACTGAAGTAGGACAGCAAAGACGGTAAGACCACGTCTAGGGTGGGAGGGTGACACAGGGACAGACAGGAAGGTCACCTCCGTGATAGCCACAGGGAGACTAGCAGACTGTTGCTGGAGCATCTGGAAGGAGCGTCTAGTGCTCCCTGCAGGGGTTAGTGCTCTAGCTGAGTCTTGAGAGGTGATCAGCAGTTACTCAGGCCAAGGGGCTAAGAAGGAAGCCAGAGGGAGAAAAGAATTTCAGGCAGAGAGGACGACTTGAGAATCCAAACGGTGCATGGGGAACATTAAAACCCATCTCTGCACGCTCACAGAAACTGCTGCACCAGCAGGTGTCAGAGGTGACAGCTGAAGGAACTAAAGGTAAGGAACTTAGGCCCTGAGAAGTGGGCGCTTCATCTTGTCACGGAGCCTCCACGGGGACAGACATGAGATTTGTGGAGCACGGACTTGATGGGAATGCCGCTGGGGTGGGGGACCAGCTGGGAGGCTGTGACATCACTCCACCCCGGGGAGGACTGGACAAACCGCAACTGGGGCGAAGGAGGCGGTGGGATTGGAAACCGTCTAGGAAGTACAGGGAGCATAAATATTTAGACAGCAAAATCAGAAGTGTGAAACACACCAAACGAGCAGCATTTCTTCCACCGCACCTCCCATTGCAGTTTCTAGAGCCCTGGGAGAACAGGCGTACCGTGTTTGGTATTTTACTCCCTCCATTTCCCTTTGGGATTTGAAGATTTATCCAAACCTCCCAGCTGCCATCTATCTGATAGTTTCTGACACCACGAGAAGCTCTCAGTAGGAAATCACTCTGAAATTCACAAGCCTTGTTTTTATATTTTTATTATGCTTTACTGTGGCAAAGAAGGGGAGGGGAAGGAACCTCCCTCCAAGAGCTAATTGCCTGATAGCTGCTAACGCAAATGCTTTCGCTGTTACTAAATCTAGAGCGGGTGTCATGAATGTCATCGGGGTTGCAGGTTATAATTACGCCTCGCACCTCTGCGGACGCGTCTGACAGTGTAACGGTTTGCTGCTCTGGTCCAGGGCTGAGTCATTTCTAAGAGGTGTTGGAGGTGTTGGAAAGGGCTGAGGAATCTTTTCTCAGGGGTACCTAAGTCAGGAGCCCGAGGGGAGTGCTCCATGACTCAGGCTTTAGGCCGCACGCCCCCCTCGCGGTCCCCTGATGGCTGAGCAAGCTCGCCTCCCCCCTGCCAGGCCCGTCAGCTGGGGCCTGCCTCTGCCTGTCACCCAGCTTGTCACTGGCTTGGTCATGCCTTACTCATTTCCGGGCCAGAGCAAGCGTCATGTTTGCTGACTGTTTTTGCTCTTCTCTGGACCTTGATCTTCTTTAGGGAAAGCAGAACCCCAAATATGAGGGGGCACGCATGGAAGGCACCTTACCTCTGTTCTTTTCCCGTTCCCCTCCGTTTTGGAAATTTATCCTTAGCATTTACAGATTCCTTTCGGGGCTTAAAACTTACTTCCCTCCCCTGCCCCCCTCTGGTGCCCTCAGTGCTGGGGTGAGTTCCTCAGTTCTGATGGGACATCTGCCTTTTCTCTCCCCAACTAGTGGTGCCCTCGGCGTCCAGAGAGGGGAGAAGGGAGCAGAACAGTCTTAAGAGCCTGGAGTCGTCTTCCGAATTCCCATGTTCACAAGGCTCGAGGGAGTAGCTGCTTCTCTTCTAGCAAAGCTTCTTCTCATTGGATCTGTTGTCTCCTTCACACGATCCCACTCCAAACTCTCTCTCTCTCACACACACACACACACACACACATGCATGCAAGCACACACATGCACACACATGCACGCCCACACTCTTGCCTTCCCTCCCTGGCACTGAGCTGGCCTTTGCAGCAGTAATTTACTGACTGACTCCTCAGGGCCACAGTAGCCAACCCACTGCCCCAGAGCTGCTCCTTCCCTAGCTCTGGGCTGTCCGTTCTGTGTACAGGCTGTGAGGCTGCTTCTCTGCAGATTCTTTATTCTTAATCCAAAGTTGTTTATTTTGCCAAGACTTGTTAGATGCAGCCCACTTTTTGGCATCTTCTATTCTGATCTAAAGTAATTCTTCCATTCATTCGAATAACATAAACCTTGGAGATCATCTTGGCTTCGCTCTTTCTAAGCTTCCCCAGGCATTTTGCCAGAAATACCTTTAAAAACTGTCAGTCATCAACCCTGCCTGTGATCTTCATCATTACCCTCTGAGATCTGGACAGCTCTGAGTCCTGTGAAGTTGCCTGCCTGCTAATTCATCTCCCTCCTCCTCTCTTACCCTCTTTCCTATCCATTCTCCACAAATCAGCCAGAATTATCTTTTAAAATGTTAATTAAAACGTGTCACTACCCTGCCTCCAACCATCTAATAGATTCCCCTCATCCTTAAAATAAAATTGAACATAAATCTTTACAAGATTTGATGTGACCTGGCCCTTGGCTTCCCCCTCACCACCATCCCTTGCTCATTTCTCTCCAGCCACACTGACCTCCTTACTCTTCTAGAAACATCCAAACACGCTCTTGTTTCAGTCTTCACACATGCTGATCCTTTTGCTCGCAAGCTCTTCCCCTACTGTATGTTACGGGCATGTTCTGTTCCCTCACTGTATGTTCTGTTCCCTCACTGTATGTTCTGTTCCCTCACTGCGTCCTGGTCTCTGTCCAGGTCCCCTCCTCGGAGTGGCCTTCACTCAGCCCACCCCGGCCTAAAACATCATAGTCCGCTCTGGGCCCTGTTGTCTCTATCCCTCTGTCCTGCCTTCGTTGATGACTCCCCTCCCGGGATTCTCAGTGCTGGAGGCAGGCTCTGGCACGTGGTAGTCATGAACNAGCTCTTCCCCTACTGTATGTTACGGGCATGTTCTGTTCCCTCACTGTATCTTCTATTCCCTCACTGCGTCCTGGTCTCTGTCCAGGTCCCCTCCTCGGAGTGGCCTTCACTCAGCCCACCCCGGCCTAAAACATCATAGTCCGCTCTGGGCCCTGTTGTCTCTATCCCTCTGTCCTGCCTTCGTTGATGACTCCCCTCCCGGGATTCTCAGTGCTGGAGGCAGGCTCTGGCACGTGGTAGTCATGAACAAATACTTGCTGAATGAATGAATGAATGAATGAATGAATGAATGAATGAATGAATGAATGGGCCAAGCAAGCGCGCAAACAAGGGCTGGCGCCGAGCACACTGTAAGCGCGGTACCTCAGAGAGATGGGGCCAGATGGCACCCGGGCCTGGCGCGTGGCCAGCGGCAGGTGGCAGGAAGGGTGAGCGCAGGTGCATTGACGGCAGCTGGGCCGGGGAGGCTGGTGGACAGGCAGGTACCCACTGCCTCAGGATGTCCCCCAAGGACCACTGCTTTCCGGGCACAGCTACGTCTCAGGCAGTTATCTCCATTTGGGAACAAATGAACAAAGTCAACTGTCCTGGGTTCTGAAGAAAGGGTCCATCCTTCGTGTAGCTTCTGGCAGCAGTGGACATAGGTTTCCACTCCATGGGCATGGTTAGAGGTTTGCAGAGAGGCCCCCGTAGCCTTCTACCCCAACCCCTCTTTGCTGAGCCCCGGGGGCCGAGGCTGGGGAGGGAGTGCCTGTGCCTGACCCAGAGGCAAACTGTGGTGTGCTAGAAACAGCACCAGATTTCAGGTTGGGAGGCCAGGCTCCCAATGACCATGGTCCCTTCAAATGCGGAGGAAGGACTAGCTGATCACTAGGGCGCCCTTCCATTCCAAAGAAATTGGTCTTAAACGTGGAGCTTTCACAAGTAGTACAGATCTACCTACCAGCCTTGCAAGGATAGAATTACTTAATCCAGAGGCATTCAGCAACTTGCTCAAAGTTACACAGCCTGGGTTCGATATTTGTTCCAGCATCCCCTGCGTGTACTATTCTACCGCAGACATGCAATTGGTCTTGGGTGGGGCCCTATCACTGCTGCTTTTTTAAGCCCCTCGGTGACCCTCCCTTGCAAGGTGGAGAACCACTACCCTAGAGGCTGAAACTGGTTGCTGGTGTCATGCTGATTAGATGGAATATGTCCCCTTCACCCCAACCCCAACATACAGATGCAAAAACCATTTCCTGTGTTTCCCCTCTGCGGTCGCCACAAGGGACGGTGCTGTTGGACCGCCTGCAGTTTTCAGTCTCCGCTACATAAATTCCCTAGCTGTGCTCAAGGGGAGACAGGGATTTAGCCCCTTTCATATTTCTCCCCTTCTACCTGGTAACTGTGAGCTGTTAATTGAGAGGATATTTATCACTATTGTTGCTGGAATTTGCGAGTGGAGGAGGGAGCTTTTTGTGCTGGCTTGGCCTCCAGAGGAGAAGGTGACATTCTCAGGAAGCTCCTTTAAAGGTTACTTAACTTGCTTTTTTTTTCGAAATGGCAAATATCCCTTAGGTGTCTGCTCTATCTCTTGTCCTGATGCCTGATTTCACATTTCAGGGTCATTATCTGTGTCCCCTCAGAAATCTGAGTCCCAGGCATGGCACATGTCCCCGGGCATGGTGGTGTCCTGGGCCCAGGGGTGCTGTGGGCGAGGCCCGTGCTATGAAGGTCAGGGAACATGCTGTGGTTCTGGGTGAGAGGCAGGGAGCAGGCATGAGCAGCCCAGGGCCTGCCCTTCTCTCTACCAGCTCTCAGCCAGGTGTCCACAAACACCCTGCTGACCTTCGGAGACTTGGGGCCTCATCTGTAAAATGGAAATAAGAACACATACCTCACAGGGTTATTGTGAGGTTTAAATGAAACAATTTTTAAATGTCCCTGAAACATTGTGGGTATTTACTAAATGCTGGCTACTTACTTTCTCTGTAATACAATCAGATTTTATGTAAATTCAAAACATTTTGTGAGAAAATAGACTTTAAACGTCTTTAACCTCAGCTTTAAAAGTGACAGATCATCAGTTTTCCCCATTAGATTTTTCTCCGTTTTGAAATGTACAAGCCACGCTCACCTAGATGCTGTCTCACTCAGTCCCAAAAATTGTTCTGCAAAATTGGTCACAGAGGATAAGGTAACTTGTTAAAAGTTTATATGCAAGATCAGAAGCCAAGTGTCCTACAGCTAAATGTCTTCAGGACGTTGAGAGACTGGGCCCTCAGCCTGTAACAGCCACCCTTCTCGCCATTGTTTGGCTTTAATTATTTTTAGCCTTAGTGGGGGGTATAGTTGATCATTTAAATTGCACATGTTTGATGTATGTGTCTGTGATACCATCACCACAACCAAGGTACTTCACACATCCGTCATCTCCAAAAATGTCCTATGTTCTTTTGAGAATTTTGTGTTTGTCTGGTTTTTGGTATGAACACTTAACATGTGGTCTTATTTCAACTTGGCTATTGCTTCCTAGGCCCCCAACCTGCCCCACTCCGCCCCAGGTGTCCCCCTGGTATTTCAGACGTTCCCTTGAAAGCTACTTATTGCACTACTGTATTGCAGGAGTTCTCAGGCTTGGCTGTCCCATAGAATTATCTGGGGCCTTTTTTAAAAAGATGGCAGATTTATGGTCCCATCCAAGACATCCTTGACGAGACATCTATTTTTTAAGTTCCCCCAGGTGATTCTGACACAGAATATTCCTTACTACAGTATAAGCCCGTGTTTATCATTAAGACTTCAGCACCTTAAAAAATATCTGGCAATACTAATAAATAATTTATTATTCTTATTATTGATAATATTTATGAGTTTTTCCTTTATGCCAGGCACTATGATAAGTAATTCACATAAGTTTATTTCAGTTAATTATTCCAAGTATCCTGAGGAAGGAGCTTTTATTACTGTATTTAATAGAGGAGAACTGAAGGTTGGAGGGGATCTTGGAAAACAGTAAATACATCAGTAATTATATTCAGCTGAAACACCTGATGTAGCGGTGCAATTCCTTTTTTTCCTACCTGCTTCCATGCCAATGAACAGAACCACAAGAAAGTGATTTTAAAGAATATAAGAAGGGACTCTAAGGGAATCAGCCTCCGGGCATAGATTTAGACATTGTCTCACAAAAGTAGAGAGAACCTTGAAAGAGCTTGGGGGTCAGCCAGCATGGCCCCAAGACACTATTTCCAAGTCCCATAAATAACAAGGTTCAGTTGCTGAATCACCAGAAAATTCTCTGAATTCCACCTGTACAGTCTAATATTATTTTTCAATTAAAATGCCTTTGGCTGCAAGTAACAATTAAAATCACTTAAACAGTAGGAGTTTAAGTTTAATTTTTCTCATATAAGTAATCCTGAAGGTTAGAAGGCTAGTCCGTGTTTTATAAACTGCAGGAAAGCCTGGACTGTGGGGATCATGAAAAGCTATGGTTGCCCTGAAAGGAATGGGCGGGCCTCAGCGCCTGATCCCGCTGATGTCTGGCCTGTGTCGTGAACAGGAAGTCACTGTAAGGATAGGATATGGAGACATGCTTTCCTATAGTCAAAGGTGCCAGGTGGGGTGAAGTTTATCTTCCCATTGTTTAATCTGTACACAGAGCATATCATATGAAAAAATGGGATAGACTCAGAGGGAGGAGAAGTGAAAATTGGTAGAAGAAATATCAATAATAACTTAAGATATGCAGATGGCACTATGTTGCTGGCAGAAAGTAGCAATGATTTGAAATGATTTCTGATGAAAGTGAAAGAAGAAGTGCCAAAGCAAGATTGCATTTGAACATTGAGAAGACAAAACCATGCTTACAGAAGAAATACACCATTTTAATATAGACAATGAAGACAGTGAAATTGTTAAAGATTTTGCTTATTTTGGCTCTGTCATCCATTCAAATGGAGACTGAGGCCAAGAAATCAAGAGAAGGCTAAGACTCAAAAGACAGCAATAGAAGAATTAGGAAAGATCACCAAGAGCAAAGATGTATCATTAGAGACCAAGGCTAAGACCGGCCACATCCTCACATTCCTAATTACTATGCCTGGATGTGAAAGTTTGACAGCAAAGAAGGCTGATAGGAAAAAATATATATTTATTTAAAATATGGTGTTGGAGGAGAGCTCTGTGGATACCCTGGACCACCAAAAAAATGAACAAGTAGGTTCTAGAGCAAATTAAGCCTGAAACATCGCTGGAAGCAAAAATGAGAAAACCAAAGCTATCCTACTTCAGGCACATCATGAGAAGGCAGGCTCTTTTAAAAAGACAGTAACACTGGGAACAATAAAAGGCAGCAGGAAAAGAGGGAGACCAAATAAGAGATGGGCTGGCTCCATAAAGAGGACACAGGCATGAGTCTAGGGGAGCTGAGCAGGGCTGCTGAGGACAGGACATCATGCACATCACATATTCGTAGAATCGCCAGGAGTCGGAAGTGACTGGATGGCATGTAACACACACTAGAGGTCCTCAAGTAGGTAGTCCCCAGGTTGGCTTAGCCTTTCAACAGCCCTGCGAAGCTCTCAAATGCTCCTTAGCTTTCCACTCTACCACCTTTGTATTGTTGGCAATGTGGCTTTGCACTGTCTTAGGATGACTAAAGCAGCTCCAAGCATCACTTCACTTCACATGAAAACATTCAAAGGCAAGAGAAGGGCAAACTCTCCCAAGTACTTCTCTCCTTTTATAAGAAGTCTTTCCCAGAAGCCACCCAACTGACACGCTTTTTTTCCTGGAAGTAGGTCACACAGCTACTGCTACCTTAGAAGTCTGGGAAAGCAAGTAACAGACATGGTGCTCTCAGCCCTCTTTTGAGAGGTGGAATTTACCAGCAAGAAAAAAGAGGAGAACCCTGGCTGGGTGGCTCAGCTGGCTGGAGCACTGTTCTGTACACCAAAATTTTGGGGGTTTGATTGTCAGTCAGGGCACATGCCTAGGTGTGGGTTCCATCCCCAGCAAGGGCGAGTATGGGAGGCAACCAATAGATGTTTCTCTCTGTCTCTTTCTCTCTTCCTTCCTCTCTCTCTACAATCGATAAACATATCTTCGGGTGAGAATAAAAAAAAAATAAAGAAGTGATTAATGTTTAGACAACTGATAGTCCCAACCCTAAATATTCTTAATTTAAAATACCTGATAATTAACCTAGATTCGATTCCCCTTCAGAATAGTTTGAAAATGAGTTTAGCCCTATGAATCCAATGTTGCTGAGGAAACATGTCAACTCTAGGGATTTTAGATGACTACACCATTGAGAATTAGATCTTTTGGTAACAAAGACATTTGATAATTGCTAATGTTCTCTTTTCCTGTTTCTAGGTCAACAGTGATCTTGTTTACATCACAGCTAAGAAAGATGGCACTCAAGTGGTGGAAGCTGTTGATACCACCCATATTGGGAAATTAATTGTGACCAAAGAAGTTGGAGGAGATGGCATGAGGGATATTACTGACACCTACAAATTCCAAGAAGGTAATTTACTGTAATTGAATGATAATTTCTCTGCCCAAGTCCGTTTTGTACTTGCCACGGTCACTATGAGATGTGTCCTAGAGAATGCGCAGGTATTCACAGCATATGGTAGTTAGAGAGGAAGTACGAACTCTCACAAGTGAAAGACACATCACACCCACGATTTTTCATTGTAGTTCATTGGTATGTTTGCTTTGAGCAGAATTCCCCTCCACGTGGCTTATGAAAATGATTTAAGTCGTATCTACTTTAACAGCATATAGAATATATGAAAGAACAAAAAAATATTTTAAATGACCCTATTATAAAACATTGTTTAACTAATGTAATTTCAGTTCAATAACAGAAATTTAAATAGCTATTCACATCTATTTAGTACTTTATACACTATTCTTACATACATTGTTCTACTGAATTATTGTGGAAATCCCTTGTGGTAGATAAAACAATATCTAGAGGACAGTGCCCTCTTACTATTCAGGCCAATTAAATTGAAGGTCTGTTTCAATTATAAAATAATGACCAGGTGGTTTTGTTAACTTTCATTGCGTAGGGTGTTTCGAATGGAGCTGTTGAGTTCAGTTCCCTCTCAGGCAGTACCGGTTGCCTACTCTGTGCCTGGAATTGTGCTTGGTGCTGGGGATCATTTTCATGAGCACAGCCCGATTTCTGTTACTGGCCAAGTGATAGGATCATTATGCAGAGAGGTCTTTGATAACAAAGAAGAGGGACACTCCGTCCTCCAGGAGATTCAGAAAAGGCAAAGTGGGGTGGGAGAAATTACAGACCATGGCTAAGGAAAGCTGGCCAGGGTTTCCAGGTGTGGGAACACAACCACAGCATGGAGGTTTGAAACACGTGGTGTGCTTAGGGTCCTTCAGGCTTTACTAGGCATTAAGCTCAGACTGCCCAGTGGCTGAAGACAACGCTGCCCCCGGTCAGCAGCGGACAGGGAGTGAAAGGCCTCAGGTGTCTTGATGGGGATGCAGAGTATATTTTATAGATGATTCACTGCCAGAGTTCTCAGGAGTGGCAATTATTTTAGTGAATGGATAAAAATGATGAATAGTTAGCATGTGCTTAATACCCACCAATATTCCTGAAGTGTTAAGGAATGCAGAATTTGTTTTAAATAGTTTAGACAGTCTCTGTGCTCTTACTTACAAAAGCAATTTGCACTATAAAGAGGAAGTTTTCTGAAGTGAGAATTTTTGTGCATAGTATTAGAAAGTCAAAATTTCTGTCATCTGAACTAGTGAATTTTTGTTGTATTTCTAAAGTGGCTCATTCTTTTTTTCTGTCGTATATCATCCATTGCACAACATAGATACAAAAGATTTTTTCTTTTGTTCTTTTTCCTTAAAAGGCAGCTAGGGAATAATAAATTTGAAGACAGAGCAATAGAAATCATCTAAAAAAATGTTTTTGTGCTTAAAAAAGGTATAATAAAACCAACAAACAATGCTCTCTTGTTATGGAGTTATAGGCAAAAAGGTTTGGAAAGGAAAAATAAAAGTCCATAAAAAAGCTAAAAGGAACTAGCTATAACACTCATTCATTCACTCATTCATTCAACAACTTGCTATTAACCACCCCCATATTTTCAACACTGGATACAATTGGAGACATGCATAGCCCTGCCTTCCCATCTAGCTGGGGAGATTGGCAGGATGCAAACCCTCACCAAGTTGTGGGATGGGTGGCCAGGTATTACAGGGCACAGCAAAGAGAGTCCCAAGCCAGACTCAGGGATCCTGGAGGACTTTAGTGATAGGCTCACTGAGATGGAAAGACAAACGAAAACTGGCTAGGTGAAGCGTAGGGAAGGAGTTCTCCAGAGAGAGGCAGCAGGACAAGGATTGTGGATAAACTCTCTCTAGTGTGGACGAAGTCCTGCTCAGACAAGAGAACAAGAGGGAAGCCTTCAGGAAGCTGTCCAAGACATCATCTGTCTTGTCTAAACCACACAGCAGAATGCCATTAGCTGTCAGCCGGCGAGGTGAAGTGGAGTCCAAATCAGGGTCAGATGTCAAGGAGAGAGGGACCCAAAGGCAGTCTACAAAAAAGGAGTCAGGGGCTTGGCCAAGGGTGGACACCAGATTAAAACAAAAAGTGAGCAAATTCTAAATGAAGAAGGCATTTGTGGTCCAGGCCTACAGAGTTTGGCAAGCAGGCAAGGCTCAGATAGGTGGACCGTGTGGGGGTCGGTCTAAAGAGAGGAGGTCCTAAATTCCCATAGACAGTTGTAAGAAACCCACCCTGCTTCTGGGCTAGAGTTTGACCCCAGGTGGATGGATAATTAACCTCTTAATAAAAAATGGCATAAGCATTTCAAATTGTAGCTTCGGGAATGACCTAGTTGAGTACTATTTAGAGAAGGGTGCTGAGACTGCTCTCAAATAGAGTGGGAAAGAGTGAGTGATCACTGATGTCTGCCACGGGCATCTAGGAAGCGGCTGCCAGTATCCGCGGTCACGTATTTGCCACGCTGATTCTCATTGCTGAGCCTCTCATATCATTTCTCTACCTGCAAATTTCTCTACACTAAAATTTGGAGATGAGTAAAAGCATAAAAAAGGAATTATTACCAGATTTAGGAATTTACTATTTTAATTAACTAGATAGTGGATAGATCATTTTTCACTTCGACAAACTAAAGCTTAACATTAACTTTATACCTTTTACGCTATAAAACTTAGAAAACCCGGAATCCTTACAACTTCTTCTGTGGCAACATGTCTTCTTTATGATGGTGCCGGGACCCCATGTCCCCGTTGCTCCGTCAGCGATGCCTCTGTCACTTGTGCTTTTCCCTCTTCATCTCTGTTAGCTCCTTCCCATTAGAACTTCTTTTCCAACAATATATCCCCCAGCAAAGGTGCCCGCACTTCCTCCCTCCTCGCCGCACGGCGGGTGTCTGGGGCGAGCCGCCTGCACCTGGCAGCCCGGCCTGTTCTTTCCTCTTTATTCCTCACCTGTCGCACCCAGAGTTCTGCCACCAGCACATCCTTGAGGATCTTCTCAAGGTTGCCGAGATTACCTGATTGCCATGTGGCATGAACGTTGTGCGGGCCTCAGCTTGCCTGACCCTCCTACACCTTTTGATGCAATTACTTACTCCCAAGCCTGAAATGCTCTGTTTTCTTTGTTTCTATGATGCAAAGGTCTCCTGGTTCCATCCCAACCTGCTTGGTTCCTTTTCTGTCTCCTTCCCCACTCTGAGCTCCCCTTGCCTTACTCCCTCGAATGTTACTTCATTCTAGGCTTCCACCCTTGGGTGTCATGCCCACCGCCTTCATGCTCTTTCTCCGCAGCTGGTGTTACATCCACATACCTACTGAGATGCACATCTCAAGTCGCTGACTCCAGTTTAGACTTCAGTTTCCAGCTCCACATTTACCCAAATGTCCCACAGAAACTTGAAACTGAACCTTCCCAAATGTCACCTCTCCCACTCCCTCCCCCACCCAGATCTATTTCTCCTCCACTCTCTACCCCAGTGAAGAGAACCACCATCCACCAGATGTAGCAGCTTGAGAATCAGTCAAGCAGAAAATCTAAATGTCTCCTCCAAAATAGCTCAACTTCCTCCGCCCCTCTTTTTTTATTATTGATTTCAGAGAGAGGGAGAGAGAGAAACATCAGTGATGAGTGAGAATCATCGATCAGCTGCCTCCTGCACGCCCCCTGCTGGGAACTGGGCCTGCAACCCCGGCATGTGCCCTGACCGGGAATCGAACCTCGACCTCCTGGTTCATAGGTCGATGCTCAACCACTGAGCCACGCTGGCCAGGCTCCTCCGCCCCTCTTGATCTCCATGGCCACTCACTGAGAATTAGATGGTATCATATATGGAAAGCCCTCAGCATAGTGCCTGATACCTAGAAAGTATCCAATAAAAGCAAGTTTCTGCTACTGCTGTAATTTTCTTATTCCTACCATACTACCACTGTTAGCTTGGGCTATGATGATTTTTCTCCTGGATGTCTGCTATAGCTTCCCTGTTTCACCTTTCCTCCTTACCCTCTTTCCCTCATCCTAAACCCTGCATTGCTGCCTAAGTGACATATTTAAAATGTAAATCTGAGCTGCTGCCTCATTATTTAAAAGCCCTAGCTCTCTTTAGTCATCTCCAGGGCATTTCAGTCAGAGCTTGGCCACTCCTCTGCCATTTGCCCTTTTGGCCCCTCACCTCCCAGCTAACCACACACACAGGTATTATAAGTAGCAGCCAGGTGAGCTGTGGACAGTTGCTCCAACAAGCCAGGCTCCCACTTCCCTCCAGGCCCTTGTTCTCACTGTGGAGGAAAAACCCCTCTGAGAAGCCTTCTCTGCCCCCAGCTGGCGTTGAGTCTCCCCCACGTTTCCTGCATCACACAGAAACATCTGCCCCAGTGCCTGTGATAGACGTGTGTATGATGAGCCCTCTTCACTACCACACTCTTAAGGGAAGGGCTGTGCATCTCATCTGAACACAGTGCCTGGACACTATAGCATGAAATGATCAAATGAGTGGTAACGCAGGCGGCACTTTCACAGGTGAGCTTCATTGAACATCAAGTGTCCTATACTGGACTATTTAGCATCCATTATAAGAGGAAAGTTTTGCCCAGCTGGGTGTGGCTCAGTGGTTGAGCGTGGACCTATGATCCAAGAGATCGAAGTTTAATTCCCGGTCAGGGCACATGCCCGGGTTGCAGGCTCGATCCCCAATAGGGGATGTGCAGGAGGCAGCCGATCAGTGACTCTCTCATCATTGATGTTTCTATCTCTCTCTCTCCCTCTCCCTTCTTCTCTCTGAAATCAATAAAGGTATATTTAAAATAATAATAATAATTAAATAAATAAAGAAAGAAAGAAAGAAAGAAAGAAAGAAGAAAGTTTTGTGTCTGGATGAAAGTAGAGGATTTCTCCAAACCTCAGTCCTCAGAGCCTCTGGGCCAGGCTGGGCTCTAGGTCTGGAGGACATGGAGCTTGCATTGTATCAGGGGAAATAATATCACATAGTGACAGGTTCAGGCAACAGAAAGTAAAACCAGGTAATATGTTAGTGAGAGATGAGAGGACTGGGGTTAGGGACACATTGCCCAGGACAAAGGAAGGGAGGGTACTCTGAGAAGGTGACAGTTGAGCTAGGACCCAAACAATGGGAAGAGGGTGTTATTGGCAAGAAGAGGAGACCTCGGTTCTTGTCTTCTTGAAGGAAAGAATTCAATCAAAAGACAAAGTGTGGCAAAGTAAGAAAGAATGTATTGGCCAAGGCAAAAATATACATAGAACAGTGAAACAAGGAAAGGGCATAGAAGAAGCAACAGGAGAGCCTAGGCAGGGCTGCTCTGGCTCACGGGAAGTCAGAGAAAAGGGGGCCTTGGAGACAGGTTCAAGGGGTTTGCCTGGGATGAGCTGCAGCTGCCCACTGCTCCCCTGGTTACAAGTGTCATGGGGTCCCCTTGGAGAAAGAAGGAGAAGAGCAAGCCCTAAGTCCTTTGTCCTGAGCATATTTATCTCTCTCTTGAGGGTGGAAATCTTAGGGGAGGCCTCAGGAGAGGGTCTCAATAAAATATTCACCAGCTTTCCAGGGGTTCTCTTTCAGGATCGTGGTCTCCACGAATTGGTTAGTGCCAGGGCAGGGGGACGTTAGTCAGTGTATCTGGACCTGAGGCAGCCATAGCACCACTTGTCTGGTTTTGCTTCTTATCTGGGTCTGGAGCTGAAGTACAACTGAGGCCTAGGTGCTATCTTTAGGGAGGAAAAGTCAGGGGATCCAAACGGTATGACCAGCGATATGCTAGCAGAGAAAATGTCACTCCGGGAGCAGGGTTCTTGTTTTTCAGTTTTGCCCCTTGCTAGGCATCTGGGCTTTCTGCCCTGGTGACCTTCTGTACCTGGCTCATAGTGGGTGCTCAGCTCATGTCTGTCTAACTGCCTACAACAGAGGGTAGTCTCACTGCATCCCAGTTAACAGAAAGATGTTTTCGACCTTACTCCTGGAGGCCACAGAGGAATCTCCGAAAATGGAATCTGGCTTCAGGCCATTCTCTCCCAGCCCTAAATCCGTGGCCTGAATCATGTGCGACATCAGAGCACCAAGCACAGCTGCAGAGCAAGGCGGGTTCCACCAGCTCTGGGGGACCTGCGGCTCCTATCTCCTAGGGGCCTGTGCTTCCTGTGACAACCCAGCCAGCCTCTGCTTGGCACTGCCTGCTCACAGGGGCAGGCTAGTCCCCAGGGGGAAGGGGGAGGTCCCTCCATCTATGACATGACACGCTATAAAGTCTCTTAGCCCCACAAGTCTCCACTGCCCCTTCCCCTCATCCCAGCCAGCTCAGCTTCTCTCCCCGAAGTAGGCACCTGTCTGACCATGTTCCTGCTGCTGGTGTTCAGCCCCTGCTTTTTGCCTAAATGCATATTTGGTATCCATCCAAAGTGATAGCTGTGAATGCTCTCTTTCTCGTAGAGCTATTTGTCAGATGCATTCTGCTAAAATATTTCACTGCACTTTCCTTGTCACAGCCCCTCCTTCCCTTTATTACTATCTCCCCTTATTGATCTGTAAACATGTGCTCTAGCCAATGCTTGTCCTAGACAAACTGTTTCTGGCACATTCTGGCAGCCTTGACAATCAGAGCAATTCTTAATACACACTCACACTCAAACACACATTTCCGATTGTTTGCAACACCTGCTGGCATTTTCTCTATCTTTGCGCAGTACTAGCAGCTGCCAATTCTTATGCATGTACTACCTCTAATTCACCTAACAACCCTATGATGCTGGCTCCCTTGTTTTACAAACCAGGATCCGATGGTAATAATAATGCCTGCCTTATAGAGTTGCTCTGAGGATTAAATGAGATAGCGTACAATACGTACTGACCACAACGCCCATCACATAGTTAGTTGTCAATGATAATTAATTGACCTCTTCATCTCCATTGCTTTTTATTATAAACTAAGTGAAGTGAAAGATAGTATCTTAAAATTAACATCATTATAAAAGCGAACACTTTTATTTTAAAGTGCTTATATGTTGTCGTTTTCTGTTTTTGTTTTTGGGTTTGTTTGTTTTTTGCTAGCCAATCCCATGACTAGTTTTCAGAAGCCAAAAAATGTGCCTCTCTAATTTCCACAACACACTAAGATATGCCCAAAGGAATTAGAATGGTAACGAGAATAGCAACTATCTCTCCACACCTCCTTAACCCCTGCCCCCCAAAGCCAATCATTGTGTCCTGTGCTCTGGAAGGACGGTTAGCCCAGCCTGGAGTCAGGAGCAGCGAGCTCTGAGCCCTAACCAGCACCCGTAATTCTCACTTTCTCACATGTAAAAGCAATTTTTTTTGTTCTTCCAGAGCTCATCCCCGCTCCTCTCTGTGCCTCACCTTCACCGCCACTATGGAAACCCTACATAAGACATACTCCCAGAAACAGCACGCATGTCACAAACAGCACCACCGTACCAATAGGCGTCCCTCAAAAAGAGTGTGTTCAGTGTCAGATGGCTTTGGGAAATCTTGTTAAACAGGTCTCCCCACAGGGGGACACAGTCTCGGAACCTTTCAGAGGCTATTGCACATTGTGAACATCCAGGCGGCACTAGAAAACCCAGCGCTCCCGGGGAACTTGGCCTCAGAGCCCTTCGGGGGGCAGGCTTGTTAACAGCTCTCTAGATCAGAGGTGCCGTGGTGCACTGTTTGGGAAACAGCCATCTCTGCTCTCTGCCGGGAGCGAATGGCAACAGAGGAAGGAGCGGAGGGAGGGTGAGAGCTGCCGGGGTTCAGCTAAGCAGGAGCAAGTGGGACAGGCCCAAGTGGAAGGAGAGATGAGGAAGACAGGTCTTCTCAGGGAGAGTCATGAAGAGGAGAAAACTCAGATGCAGACGGTGGAATGGCCAGATGCGACTCTTGCCAAAACCTTTGCTTAGAGATCAACTTCTGGCTACATGGCTAGGACTTGGGGAGGGAGGCAAACCGATACCACAGTTTAGGGGGAGTTAGATTTTACCTGTTCAACCTTCTGAACCCTGAAATAGTGGCACTGCAGAAACAACTGTTCGAGCAAGCCTCTTAGCAACCCCTTGCAGACAGGCCCGGGGATGCCACCTAACTCGGCAACCTGGGCAGGTCATGGCTGGCTGGGAACTTGATGTGGCAGAATTTGTAACATAGGAATGACTTGGGCGCCTGCCTCAAAGGAAGCTGTGTGGCTTGTAGAGGCGGTCCCACGGGCACAGCGTACAGTGTGAGGTCAGTGTGTGTCACTGCGGCCTTCTCTTTGATGAGTTGCATTTCTTCCCCCCGTCATCACCTCTGCATCCTTCCTAGGCCAAAAGGAAGAGAGACTGGCCCTCGAGACTGCCCTAATGTACGGGGTTAAAAAGCCGCTCAACACAGAAGGTGTGGTGACGTCGAGGTCCCACGTGGACATGGACTTCGAGGTGGAGAACGCTGTGCTGGGGAAAGACTTCAAGGTCATCATCACCTTCCAGAACAACAGCCCCAATCCGTACACCATCTCAGCCTACCTCTCCGGCAGCGTCATCTTCTACACCGGGGTCTCCAAGGAGGAATTCAAGAAGGAGACATTCAGTGTGTCCCTGGAGCCCTTGTCCTGTAAGCTACTCGGGGGGCTGCTCTCTCAGGGCCTTGCGATCTGCTTCTCTGTCTGGCAAGGGCCTGACACCCTTAATAACTCTCTGTTGAAGTTTAGGTTCTGGCCAGGGTTCAGGAGCTTGAACCACATGGGAAAACTGACTTCTTTCCGGGGGGCCTCACCTTTCATTTTCGTGTCTCATGCATACAAGTGAACACTGAGATTTTCAAAGCCTAGAGCAAGATCCATGAGTTGTGAAAGTTAAATATAACTTCTTGCCACTCAAAGTGTGGGCCAAAGACCTGAAGCATCAGTGTCCCTGGGGAGCTAGTTAGAAATGCACTCTCAGGCCCCACCCAGGCCTTTCAATCAAGATCTGCATTTTAACAAGCTCCCAAGGGCATTGAGACCATGGGGAAGTTTGTGAAGGACACATCTCAGAAAGCAGACCTCCTGGTGGTGCCTCTCCCCAAGTTAGGCTTTGGGGGGCTGCTCCAGCAGGAATGATGGGTGTTGCTTTACTGTTTAGAAGGCAGGGAGAGCTAAGTTCTGCCTAAAGGCTCTTTCTGAAAATTGATCTGTCTGATACATAAGGACAGGAGAAAGCCCACCCTTGGGAGAGGAGGTGGGAGGCTCGGGTGTGCTGTCCAGGAGCCTCTGAGGGGCCTTGCTCTCTCTGCCATCTCTCAGGGACACTTTCTCATCCTCAATCCCTTCCAGCCTCCCCTGTATACATGCCCCTCCGAAGCATCTTCACTTCAAAAATTTAGAATATTTTAAGCAGGATGGGATGGGCATGGGGCATCTTGTGCTGGGGATTGCAGTTTCAACCCATCTCATTTCTTAGGGTCTAGTATTTAGTGGGCACGACAGCTGGTAAGTCCACTGGCCAAATGAGTCAGCCAGAAGAAGCTGGTCTCCAGGCAGCGCATGTGGAGTTAGATCGAGCAGGTTGGAAAGGACCTGGACTTCGGAGCACCAGATTTTTGTTGTGCTGATGTGTGGCACTGAAAAAGAAAAGAAAAAAGGTATATGAATGATCAGTTTTACAAAACAGAGCCAAACCACGTCTCCATGGTGTTCATGCTTTCTGGATTTGATGTCTGTGCGAAGCTACAGTACGTTCAGAAAGATATTCCCAGAAAAATGGGAAACTATTCCTAAAACTGCTAATTCTAAGAAACCTACCCAAACTTGAAGGAGGAAGCCAAGCTCCCATGCTTCAGTAACGTGGCTTCAACAATTAGGAAATCAATCAGTGTGGCATTTTCTTTGGAAACTGGAAGAGCTAGCATGCTCCCATCCCTGGGGGTTGGAAAGGGAATTCTTATAGAAAAGAGCAACCAGGGAAAGGACTCAGGAGCAAAAGGGTCATCACAATTGTTTAGTGCAGGCAGACACAGTGAACTTTAGAGCCTGAGCCTTGGAATGAGACAAATCTGGAATTGAGGTGTGACTATGGCGCCTCCTAGCTGTGTGTCCCTAGGCAAGCTGCTCCAGCCATCTAAGCTCGCTCTCCTCATCTCTACATGGAAACAATGCCACTCATATCACAGGGCTGTTGATTTACTCTTCAGACCTTTATTTTATGCTTATAAGTCTGGGTTCTGCTTTGCACTGGAGACAGCGTTGAACAAAACAGAAGTTCCTGCTACCCTCGTGCAGCCTATGGTCTCTTGTGGTGGGGCAGGGACTCGACAATAAACAATCAAGCAAGGGGTATATAATGTAATGGGCATGTAACAGAGAAATGGGATGCGGGGAAGGGAGGCAGGAAGTGGTGGTGGAGATGGGGTGCTTGGGGAAAAAATGATTTAAGAGAAACCTGACAAGAGTAGGAGTGAACTTTCCAGCCAGAAGAAATCATAAGTGCAAAGGCCCTGAGGCCAGAGCATGTCTGGTGTGTTCAATGAGCAACAAGGAGACCAGAGTCGGGAAGAAAAGTGGCAAGAGGAGAGTGGGGCAAAGACCATGAAAAAAGATGTAAGCCCTAGGAAGCACTTTGGCCTGGCTTCCAAGTGAGCTGAAAGAACCCTCAGAGGGCCCTGAGCGGAAGTATGGCCTGATCTCACTTAGGTTCTGAAAGATCACTCTGGCCAGTGTGTTGAGAACAGACTCATGGAGGAGTCTGGCTAAAGCTTAGAGACTAGTTAGGATGCTGCTGCAGTAGTTTAGTGAGAGATGGTGGGTAGTGCGGGGAGTGGTGAGAACTGGTCAGATGTTCAGAAGGTAGAGCCCACTGGGCTGGCTGACAGGTTGGCCGTGTGGTGTGAGGGGAGAGCGAGATAAATACGTGAAGTGGTTGCATATGGTTGGCTCTCAGTAAATGCTAGCTTCCATCGTGTTTACATTTTGGGAAACCGAGACTGAAAGATGAGCTGATGTGTCCAAGGTCACACACAGTAACTAGAGGCAAAGCGGATAGTAGAAGCCAGGTGCCATTCCGGCAACGACAGTGAGCCAACTTGGTGCAATCCTGGGGCCAAGTGGGCCAGTTTCCTTACTTGTGCCTTTGCTGCCTGGAGTCCAGTTGCCCCTCACTCCCCTGAACAGGGAATCTTTTTCCCACCTCAAGAGCCCCGTCTCTCAATCTCCTCCTCTCCCTAATCTAAAGAATGAATGAGCTCATGTGAGTTAGGGGGCTAGAATACATACTATACTAGCCCTCTCAGTCACTGATCTGATCTGGAGACAGCTGACCAAACCTAAGCCAACTCCGTACTGACACAGGTCCCACCTGCTCAGCCCACCCCGGGGCTTGTCCTGTAAAACGAGAAGGGAGTTGGAGACTATTTTTCGCTTTACCCTAGAGGCGGGTGGCATTAACTGCATGCAATAAATTGTGTATTGCAATCTAAAAGAAATTGCACGTTATTGCAAAAAGCCACATGATTCTAGACCTTGATTTAGCAGGTCAGAGTACATTCCTTGGAGGCTGTATTGCAAAGAAAGTTTTCCAAGTAGAATGGGAGGCATACTTTCCAGATTGATGATTTAAGAAAATGTGTGGGCTAGAATCAGCTTGGAAGACTTGAATAACTTAAACCTCCCAGTACCTTCAAAGGTGCTATCATTTCCACTTGGCTATATTTAGTTTTCTCTGCTTTTTGGAAAAGAGATGAGGCAGCTCTAGTCTGTGTCTCCCTTGGCTTTCCCCAGACACCGTAAATGATATTGGCAGGATCCCAGCTCCACCACTCATAGAATGAAAATCTATTCTTCTTTCTCTTGCCACATTTAATAAACTTTATCTAGAACAATTTCTTGTACGGTGGCAAAACACAGCACTTACATAACATACTATTTCAGGAGCACTGTTCTCCTGGGCTGGAAGCACAGCCCAGTTTCCTTGGTGCTATGATTTAAAGAATGCTCTGCCTCTGAAAGGGGTCCTCATGCTGACATTGTGAAGGCAGCAAGAGCCTCCGCAAAGATTGCTGGAAAGAAGTCAGGCATGTCTCTCCAGACTAAAGGAACCCAGTGGTCCAACACAACCCTCTAGAAAGAGCCAGAAGATGCCCCGTTTTATTATTTCTGGAGGTAGCCACAGGGAAAATGCACATCCTTCAAAGCCTGTCATTTTGCCTCTCCATCTGTCCAGATCTGGGGAAGTGAGAAGCAGGCCCCATATGCTCATCTGAGGTTGTATCTAACTGAGGGACAGAGTCTGGACAATTCATTGCTGGGGAGCCATGGGGAAATCAGACTCTAGGCTCAGGCCCAAAGGAGGCAGCCTGATTAGGTCATTCAAAAATGCAGAATTCAAGGGCCAACGTCAAGGCCAGTTCACAAATTCAAAAGGCAGGCTCTAAATGAAATGCGACTGCCCAAGTTGTTAGTACTTGCCTAGGATGGACCAATACCTTCTAATAACTTCATAGCCTGGAGCAGTTTCTCAGCAGAGGCACCACTGACATTCTGGGCTGTGGATAATTGTTGTGGGCCATCCTGTGCATTGCAGGATGTTTAGCAGCATCCTTGGCCTCTATCCACTAGATGCAGTAGCAACCCCCAGCTCTGACAACCAAAATGTCTCCAGACGTTGCCAAATATCCCCTTTGGGGGGGGGGGGCGGTGAGGAATTGCCCCCAGCTGACAACCCCTGGCTAGAATGACCAGCCTTTCCAGTTTGCAGGAATTGAGTAGGTTCCGGGTACAGAACTTTCTGCTTTAGACCTGAGATTATGCTAAATCCACCTCAACTCTGCCACTTCTGCTGCTAAAACCTCTTGTCTGGGAGTTTTGCAAACCTGCGAAGCCATCAGGCATCTTAGTCAAGGGAAGACTCTGATCTAGGAGGTGGATGGTCAGAGAACCTGCATCTCTAACAGCCTGGGTGGTGTCTGCCGGCCCGCAGAGCATACTTGGAGCAGCAGTGCCTGGGGTGGAAAAGCCATGCTTTCCTCTTGTTCAGGTGGATTCTGTGGGCAGCCTCTGTGGTTGGAGCGCTACCTCCCAGCCCCGGCTGCACACTAGAGCCCGCTTCAGCACTTAGAACAATGCCGAGCCCCGACCCCCAAGATTCTGACCTCATTGGTCTGGGGTGGGATCCAGCAGGGCAGGTTCTTACACCCCCCAGGTGACTGTGCTGTGGAGCCAAGACTGAAAACTCTTCAGTGAGAGGGCGGGAGGCGGCCACAGCACCTGCTCATCTGTGGGGAGCTTTGAAACAGGTGCTGACGCGCCCTCACCTGTGAGCCAGCCGGTCAGGAGGCCTCCCTGTGCCTCCCTGTGCCCTGGCGCCGCCTCCACGCAGCCTTCGCTCCTGGCTGCAGGGGCTGCTCCTTTTGGAGGGCTGTAATGAACGACCCTCTGCGCTTGAAACTATCAGCCATAGCAGCTATTTCCTTTAATAACTTTTGCAAGAAGGAGGAATCTTTGGCACAAGGCGGGCATTGGGCAGGGAAGCGGTGGTGGAGACGTTCAGTTCCCTGGGCGCTCCCGGAGCCGGTGCTCTGCGCGGGGGTGGAGACATGAGTCCCCTGTTCTGCTGGGCGGCTGGCTGACGGTGCCCCACTCACACGTGGCTCTAGCCAGGTAGGTAGCAGCAGGTGCTGCATGGGGCCCAGGTCCAGCCTGCAGAAGGACTGCCCTTTGCTCTAGCATCCCGGGCTGTGGGAATTGAATGTGACAGAGAAAGTGGGTGATGTGGCCACACAGAACCTCATTGCCGTGGCCAGAGCCACGAGATAGACTCCCTGCCCCCAGCCTGATGGTGAGCAGAGGGAGCCAGGGCCCTCCTCAGCCTCCAGATGTCCCCCTGAAAGCCAACCTCAGTGGCCTGAGGAAACAAGCTTTGGGCACAGAGGCCTTTTAAGTGGCAAATAGGAGAGGGGGCGGGAGGAAGCTGAATCCTAGGGTGAAAACTGGTTCCAACAGCTTCTTTCTCTTAAATAGAACATTCATGTCAGATTGGTACAGAAAGGCTGGAGAGAAACTGTGGAGCATTACAAGGGCAAGGGGTTAGGTAACTGACCGTCCTGCTCCAGGTGGCCCATGGCCTACGGGAGCTGCTGTTACTGCACGAGGGGTTGGCACGTGGGAAGGTGTCCTTGAATTCACTGCTCCCCACCTGCCCTCTTTGGATTGTCCCTACCCAGATCAAAACCACCACAGTTAAAGCTCCTTGGTCCTTGATTTTAAACATGGCATCCTCTTTTACAGCAGAAAAAGCACTCTTTGGAAAATCTGACACATTTTTTCTACTAAGACTTTACTGAATATTAAATTTCCAGCACATTCTTTCTTTACTCAGAACAGAAGAGCTGACCCCGACTGGCTCTTTGTTCCTTTCTCCCCTCCCTCACCCTTGCTGCGTGCCGGTGGGTGCTGTGCTGATGTGGGAAAGATGGGGCACTGGGGAAAGGGAAGCAGGCCCTGTCTCAGGCACTGATAGCCGGCGTGTTTGTTTCCCTCCGCCAGCCAAGAAAGAGGAGGTGCTGGTCAGAGCCGGCGAGTACATGGGCCAGCTGCTGGAGCAAGCGTCTCTGCACTTCTTTGTCACTGCGCGTGTCAATGAGACCAGGGACATTCTGGCCAAGCAGAAGTCCACTGTGCTGACCATCCCCAAGATCATCATCAAGGTAAGTGTTCGCATCTCAGACAAGGGAGAAAGGCAAAGTTGTTGATCAGTTAATCAGGCTTACTGTGCTTTACCGTGTGTGTGTGTGTGTGTGTGTGTGTGTGTGTCCTGCTCCCCCTACCCTCCCACGAAGGAAAATGGAGGTAGGATCCTCCCGTTCTTTGAAAGAAGTAAACTGCCCTATATATAGACACGCACGTATAACACTTTCTCTCCTCTCCAGATTTAAATATGTAGATCTGGCTGCAGATATAAATATAACCTGTAGGTATGAACACACTGGAGGAAGAGAGGGATGTGTGATGGACACATATGCTCAGAGCTCTCACTGCCTGCAGCATAGAGTGGGCTGTGAAATGGAAACCCTCGGACCACCTCCCACCGGCGCCTTGAACAGTGCTGCTGTCCCCGAGACGGAACTGCGGGCGGCAGCCACACACACTGCGAGTCAGCTCGATGACAATGGCTTTTCACCTGTATATTCACCTGGCAACCACCGGCCAGGTGGAGCTGCAGAGGCCTGACACCCCAGAAAATCCCCTCATGCCTTTTCCAGTAAATAATCCCTCCCCCATCACCAGGATAACTGCTTTTCTGACTTTTGTTACCACAGGAGCATTTTTTGGCCCACTTGGCTAGTAGTTTTAAAGTTGTCTCCCCCATTTACCACCAGAAATCTCTGCCCAGGTGGCTCAAAGGCACCTGACGGATGAAGGCTGAATGCGGCAGCCTGTTAGCTCCTGCGTCTTGGGAGCACTGGCAACATCGTAGCCATATCGCTGAGGCACCTTTCTGCCCTATAAGCAGGGACCCAGGCCTGCAGCAGGGTCCATGGGGTACGGCCTCTCCTGCCAGCCTTCCCCAGGGCTCAGACCTTCCCAGGTCACTGGAGAACACTTTTACTTTTTTCCTGAATTGATTAAAGTGATTAGCACAGATCCTGAGCTGCATTCCTCTAGAGTGACAGACAAATCAAAGTTTTACAAAATTTCTCATATTTTAAATGCCCCTAGTGCTGGGATTGGGCGTGGAATGGGCTAGGAAAGAGGGGTTAGGCATTGTGTCTTATGAGGACTTTTCTGAGGATCATTTGTTAAACGAATCATTGTTTGGTAGCACTGGAAATGGCAGCCTTTGCTGGGTCCCGGGCCACGTGGAAGGCACTTGAGGACCTCCATGCAAGGGGTCACCCTAGGACAAGGCTCACCCACACACAGACATGTAGTGCCGGCCGAGAACAGGAACCCCAGGCCCTTCATTCCTAGAAAGGCTTCAGCCATCATCTCTGGTTGGTTACTTCACCCAGTCACCCCCGCCCCCAGGCCCACCAGAGCACCATCTGCACAAGAGGCCTTAGAGACAAATAAAATGAGGATGTGCCGGGTCTGCAGGCAGAAGAGGGAACATGCAAAACGGGAGAGCGCTCCTCCAGGGTGCCTCCAATCCTGTGAAACAGGACTTCCACAGTGTGAGGCGCTGGGCACCGTAGCAGGGGGCCTGCCCACCCCCCCAAATGGGCAGGCTGCCCTCAGGGCCTGCTACCCCTGGGAGACACGGGCGGTGCCCTGCAGGCCTCTCCCAGCTGCCACCAGAGGCAAGGCCCACAAGCTCTCCCCTTATGAAGCGACAGCTTGTCCCAGGGAAGGTCTCAGGAGAGGCCGTTCCAGGCTGTGCAGCACTGAAACCCAGCCTGCAATAGAGTTTGATTGCATCACTGATAATAAACTGGGTGTACAAAAGAAACTAATAATTTTCATCTTTTAGACATTATTAATTTGAAGGATTATTTGTTAATGACCTTCTGGGCTTACTTAAAGAGCAGTTAAATTCCCCAGGGGCAGAATCAAAATACCATCTCCAACAAGCCAAGAGAGCTGGGCAGGGACGGTGCACTTTTTGAAAAGTTGCGTTTTTGTTTGGTCTTTAATTGCCGTTAAAGCATCAGGGATGCTGTTCCTGGAGGACACTTATTTAGAGGCACAACCGTGTGACTGGGACTCAAGCGTGAGAGAAATGGAAATAGTGGCTTCTGTCCAGGGCCAAGGTTGTTCAGGAGGGACAGGAGACAGCCTCGTGTGAACTGCCCTTAACCACTAACCCCACTAACCGTACTAACCTCACAGCAAACTCAGTCCTCGCAGGGGAAGAGGTGTTACTGGGTGAAGCACCTCACTCCGTGAAAGCCATCGGCTGCCCCTGAGCTGTAAGGGGCTTGATTCCAGAAACCCTGGCAGTGGGCTGGGGCCCTGGGGGGCTGCTTAGCCTGCTGGACAAATGAAATAGAGTCGTGGCGTCCAGACGCAGTCTTCATCCTGAGCTGCTGAGGGAAGGAAGGAGGGCACAGAGAATGGGCGGGGGGTAGGGGGGAACAAGAGAGGAGGGAGGGGTGTGGGAAAGGAAGGGAGGGAAAGGAGGAGAAGGGAGAGAAAGGAAGAGCAGAAGGGGGAAGAGAGGGAGGGGAAGGAGGGAGGATACGAGTCACACTGAAATATCATGCAGGAGGCCTCAGGGAGAGGCGTCGATGGAATAAAACAGGAGTTGGCCCTGGCCAGTTTGCTCATGGTTAGTGTCGGCCCACGGAATGAAGGGTCCCAGGTTCGATTCAGCCAGGGGCACATACCTCAGTTGCAGGCTCAGTGGCAACCAATCAATGTGTCTCTCCCACATTGATGTTCCCCCCTCTCTCTCTGTCTCTCTCTTTCACCCTCCCTCCCTTCCACTCTCTCTGAAAAGCAATGAAAAAAAAAGAAAAAACAGGAGTTGGAGAGGGAGCTAAATGCAGTGAAAGTACAAAAAAAAAAAAAAGTACAGTGGCTTAGAGGTCCAGAATTGCCTAGGACTAGGAACATGCTAGAAATCTTTGTCAATCTCTTTGAGCCTGGCATGGGTCCACAGCCATGGGTCCCTGCCACGAATGTGCCCGGCATGAGGGAGTTGACATGAAGGCCAAGGGTTGGGAGGATGTGACCCTCCGTCCTGAGCTCACGGGCAGGAGGAGGGAGACCAGGACACGGATGACAATGATAGCAGCTATGAGTGACTGAGCTCTGCACTATTATTACTTCTCCTGCATTATCTTATTTAATCCTCATATTATCTTACGAGGTGGATATTATTGTAATCCCCATTTCACAAATGAGAAAACCAAGGCCCCAACAGGGTAGTCCCCTGTGACATAGTGGTCAAAACATGGGCTTTGGGACCAAACTATCTGAGTTCAAAGCCTCTTTTCTCAACATAGTAACTGTGTGACTCTGGACACATCACTTATCTCTCTTGGCACCTTTTTCCATCTGCAAGAGAGCTGATGGTGATATTTCCTTCCCAGGGTGGCTGTGAGTATAGAATGAGTTAATGGGCACCTGAGCGCACTTCAGAGTAAATGCCAACTGTATGGTGGTAGTTATTCTTATGGTCATCATTACTGTTCAGAAGCAACTCGTCCTTGAGCAGGTGCCTAATAAGGGAACGGGTGAAGCTTCTGGCCCAGGTCCTTCTGACTCAGAAGTCTGTGCAGATAACCACTAGGCTACACTGCTCTCACATGGGAACGTTCACAGGAAGCAGAAGACAGCGGCTGCCTTCACAAAGGCTCTGTGTTTCTCAAGGGAGGGAGATCGCATGAGTTTGGTTGAAATGGGGTATCAAAGATTAAGGCTGTAGAGCAATAGATGATCCTCAATGAGTGGACAGCATCTCAAGCAGTAGAGATGGATGGAGAGACCACTCCAGGTCCTAGGACAACACATACTCAAGGACAGGAGAGAGGTAGATGGCAGGCGTGGAGTGCAACTAGAAGCCTGCTTTGGTTGGCGTCGAGGCTGGGAGCAGGGGACTAGTGGTGATAAACCTAGAAAGGCAGCTTGGGGCCATTTTAAGGTGAGTCTAAAATTTTGGGGTGACAGCTTTATAATTGCATCTATGAACAGAAGCTTCAGTGAAGATTCTAGATCATAAATGTTAACATTATGGTCAACTCCCCCGTCCCAAGAGTCAGAACCTCTTTCGTTTCTCCTCCTCAAAGCCTTCGCCCAAGTCATCGTCTTGTTCTGGGGGCCCCCAGCTCAGCCTTGGGACTGGAGCTTCCCGGCAGCAAGTTTGCAGCTGTTCTTAACTAGCCCCCTTTTTAGAGCAAATAGAGGCCAATCTGGAACAGTATTGAGCCCACCTGTCTGATTCCACAAGGGGGATTCAGACACCTGTGAAGCGAAGCAGTTGGCCAGTGGACACAGGCACCATCCTTCTGGGCCCAGTCTCGATTGCATTCTCCCCACCATGAGTTAGCTGCTCCGGCCGCCCACCGTGCATGAGTCTGGTGGAAAATGGCAGGGAGAGACAGTCATTAAACTTTAATGAGCACACGTCTCTTTTTCCATGCCATCACAATATTTTGATGAGCAAAGTATATTTTATTAAAATCAGACATAGAATTTTTCTCTGACTTCCCATGTGTTGATGGTTGTAAGATGCTTTAAGTCAGAAAAAGACTCTTAGGCATTTTGATTTTTAATGAACAGCTATTTTTAGGAGACGATGGAGGCAATTGTGGGGATTCAGCTGGTCTCCAGGCTGCAGGCTGGTTTGTGTAGAGTCGGTGGTGTGCCATGTGGGAACAGCATTCTGGTGGGTCTCGCCCACTGTCAGTCAGCAGTGAAGATTTCACATGTTTTATGCTCTCACCCAGGTCAACTAGAACCAGGAGGGACACCTCGAGCCCCTTTCATAGAGACACAGGATCCTGAATACTTAGAGATGGCTACAGTCAGACTGCTTGGGTTCATAACCCAACCTGGGCTGCTTTGGGCTAATTACTCCACCACCTCAGAAGTGAAATGGGTCCAATGATAGGACTGACTTCATTGGGTTCCTGGGAGAGATCACCAAAGTAATTCCCATAAAGAACTTAGCATGGTACTTTGATCGTAGTAAGAACTCAATGAAGACCCTTGTCTAGTAGCTTCCATCACGCCCACCTCGCTTCCACTTTATTTTTCTCCTCCC